TTGGGAGTTGTAGTCCCTCCTTGTGCGGTCGGCCCAGGCGAGGCCGCCGGCGGACTACGAGGCCCGCGAAGCCCTGCGGAGGCACGTGAGTGTTTCCTAGACAACCACCCCGCGGCCTCGTGATGCCGGGCGCCCATGCTTTGGCGGAGTGCGACTTGGGCTGCCCTCCCTGGGTTTGCGAGGTTGAGTGAGGGTCGAGCCCTGACCACGCGCGCCGCGCACTCCAGGATGGCCCCGGGCCCCTGTCCCATCTGCTCCGCAGGGAGAGTAGACAGTTCAGAGATGGGGACCCTGTCTGGCTGAAACTTTAGATATGTTCCCGTGTCAGCGGCATCGACAGGGAGCCTTCCTTGTGGGTTTCCTGGAAGGTGGCCCCTGCTTGGCGGTCAGGACGCTTCGAACCACCCAGCCCACTCCTTCACTCGACAGAGGAAGACAAGCTGAGTCCCAGGCCGGTCCAGGTGTCTGGGCTTCTCATTCCCGCCCCGCCGAAGCCTTTCCCCCAGACTGGGGGGCGCCTGCACCCCAACAGTGTCTTTGAACTGCATCCCTAACAGTTAACTCCGCGCACTTTTTCTGTGTTAGAGATGCGTGTGTACCTGCTTCATTTCTCCCACCCTGTTACAGCAAAGTTCACCCTAAGGAGCCCGCGTGTTGGGGTTGCGTGGTGCCCTGGAGCCAACCTCAGGCCGCTGCCCTCAGGTAGCTTGAGGTAGATGGTTGAGGAGGGGCACCAGCTAGGGGCTTTGGGGCTTGGAGAAGGGGCAGGGTGAACCCATCTGCTAAGAAGGACCTGAAAGGCCTCCCAGGGTGGCAGTGTTGTGCCTTGAAGGGAGGACATCCCCATAGGAGGGAAGAGGAGGACAAAGGAAGGGGGGGGAGAGTACCTGGGCCTCTTGGGAGGAATCCTGCCACCGGTACTTTACAATTGGGCCCTGTGTTGTCCGAAAGGGTCACGGTCAAGGAGTGCTTTGCTACCCTTCCCGCCTGATGCCTAGCATCGTGGGAGCAATCATTTCGTACGTCTTGTTCAGTTGTTCAGTTTTGTTTCCAACAAAGGTTAAATTCAGTCCCTGTGCTCCATTCTAGCCAGAACGCAAGTTCCAGCTGCTGTTAGCATTTAACGCACTTATCCTGTTTATTAGTTAGCTTAGGCTAACTATTATAACAAACTCCAAAATGCATAAAGGCCCCAAGAGGACAGAGGTTTTTTTCTTTTCCCTGTTCAAGACTGATCAACAGTCAGTTGTCCCCTGGGTGGTGATAAGGGGACCCAGGCTGCCCCCTTGTCAACACGGGGCTTCTAAGATTGCTTCCCCATGGGCACAAGGGGAGAGAGCACAGAGGGTATCACAGGGGAGGGAGTCGGAGAGCCAGGCCTATCACTTTTGCTCACGTTCTACTGCCTAGAAGATATCATATGGCCACCTCTGTTAACAAGAAAACTTCAGCTTGAAAATGGAGTCGTGGTAGGCCAGGTCACCAGACCAGGGCTGAACATCTAACCTAACTGCAGTTCCAACCTCCCCCAGAAATGTAGTTGTAACTGGTCAGCCAGGAATTTTCGGGTCAGCACCAGTGAAATAAAACTCCATCCTCCAAAGGATGTTGAGGTCAAGTATGTAGTAAGACACCAGCCCTTCGCCTAAGGGAAGGTGACCTTGCCTGAAACAAACCTTTCTTTTATTTTGCTAATAACTTCTTGCCCTACCCTGCTTCCTATAAGCAACTCCTTTGTACTCCGTCTTTATTTCACCGACTGATAAGTGAAGGCCACAAGACGGAGTTTGACTTGCCAAGTCACCTAATTACTGAGCCGCCTCTCATCTGGATAGATTCAAGATCTCCTTATTGGCCGCTCTGGTTCTACCTTGTTTCCTGAGGAGTCCTGTCTGGATACAGCAACCAGAATTAGCCTTTTATTTTATTTTATTTTATTTTATTTTATTTGTGTTTATTTCTGAGACAGAGAGAGACAGAGCATGAGCAGAGAAGGGACAGAGAGACAGAGACAGAGACAGAATCCGAAGCAGGCTCCAGGCTCTGAGCTGGTCAGCACACGGGGCTTGAACTCACGAACCCGTGACATCAAGACCTGAGCTGAAGTCGGACACTTAACCAACTGAGCCACCGAGGCGCCCCCAGAATTAGCCTCTTTTTTTTTTTTTTTTAATTTTTTTTTCAACGTTTATTTATCTTTGGGACAGAGAGAGACAGAGCATGAACGGGGGAGCGGCAGAGAGAGAGGGAGACACAGAATCGGAAACAGGCTCCAGGCTCTGAGCCATCAGCCCAGAGCCCGACGCGGGGCTCGAACTCCCGGACTGCGAGATCGTGACCTGGCTGAAGTCGGACGCTTAACCGACTGCGCCACCCAGGCGCCCCCAGAATTAGCCTCTTAAAATACAAGTCTGATCAAAAGAATTCCAGACCAACATTCCTCACGGACACGAACACAAAAATCCATAACAAGATATTAGCAAATGGGATTCCACAGTACATAAAGAAGTTTGGCTTCATATTTGTAAATGGGTCCATGTAATTCTCCTTATTAACAGAATAAAAGAGAAAAAAAAAAACCAATGGGTAACATTCACAAATAAACAGAAGTGCTCGACGAGCCCAATACCCGTTCGTTGCGATAAAACCACTCAGCAAACTAGCGACGGAAGGGGACCTCCTCAGTTGAATCCGGGCATATACAAAAAAATGCAGAATGCACATCATACTTCATCGGGGAAACGTTGAGCACTTTCACCTTGAAAAGAATGTAAGGACGCTCTCCTCCGTATCCCTAATATTCAGCACACTGCCTCATGCCCACGAGAAAAGCCAAAATTAGTTAGGTCCACAACGTCGTATGCTGAGAAAAATATGAATCCACTAAGGTTCTCATACTTTGCCGGTGGGAGTGGAAACTGCTCAACCCCTTGGCAAAACCCTTTGTCAGTTCCTTTTACAATTAAATACCTATTCTATGACCCAATCCAATTGGGTCGGTTCTATGAATTTGTAACCGGGGTGCAGGGGTGCGAGAGCACCCGACTCGGGGGGTTCCAAACAGACCAGGTTTGGCCACTCGGCTGCTGACAAAATCCAAAGGCAGAGAGGTGAGTGGTGGGGAAACAGGAAAGGGATTTATTGCAGGAGGACAACACTTGGAAGAAAGCGGACGAGGGGCTCAAACACTGTCTCCAAAGTGCTGGAGATACAGCCAGGTTTCTATGAGGAAATGTGGGATAAAGGTTGGTGGGTCCATGCGGCTGGGCAGTGAAGGTCAGGGTGATCACTGTCTTGGGGTCAGTGGCCAGGGTGGGTGGAGAGGAAAGGAGGGGTCTTACTAGCCCCAGGGCAGCTGCTATTGCTTGAGGGGAAGTTTCGGTTCCCATCAGGATGCTTTGCTCCCTGAGTCCTTTGCCTGAGTTAAGAGCTGAGCTGGAGGGGCGTCTGGGTGGCTCAGTCAGTTAAGCATCTGACTCTTGATTTCAGCTCAGGTCATGATCTCACGGTTTGTGGGTTGGAGCCCTGCATCAGGCTCTGCACTGTGTCAGAAAGGAGCCTGCTTGGAATTCCCTTTCCCTCTCTCTCTGCCCCTCCCCAACTCATGCGCATGCACTCTCTCTCTCAAAATAAATAAACTTAAAAAAAATCTTTTTTAATTAAAAAAAGAGCTGAGCTGGGAAGAACACATCAAGCCTAGCGATTCCACTCCTAAGTTGCCCAAGATAAATCAAAACATAGATCTATAAAAAGACTGTACAAGAATGTTTTTGGCAGCTTTATGCATGACAGACAAAGATTTTAAACAACTCAAGCGCCCACCAACAGGAAAATGGTTAAACAATTGTGGTAGACGCGTATAAAAAAAAGAAAAAATGAAAAACGAACTGCTACGTCATATGGACCAGTCTTACCATTATGAAGAGTTCAATAAGCCAGAAACAAAAGGGAACACTGGATATGACTGCATTTTCTGAAGTTCAAGATCAGGCAAACATAATCTATGATACTAGGTATCAGAACATTAGTTGCTTATGGTGGGGTGGTGGGTGGTTGGTGATGAACTGGAAGGAAGCACAAAAGAACCTTCCGGAGTGATGGAAATGGTTGATATTTTGATTGAAATATTGGTTAGAGGGGTGTATATATTCGTGAAAATCCATTAAATTGTATGTTTAAGATCTGTGGTTTCATTATGTATAAAGTTTCTCTTACGACAAAATACACACGTGCACATGTACAGCAGGGACTGAATCATCCTGAATGCGGACGGTAGAGGCTCCTGTCTTCTCTCCCTGCTCAGCTGGGTCCTCAGCCTCCAGATCAGAGATTAGAAGAAATGTTTCTGTTGAGTCAGACCATCTCAATAGGAGAGAACCGAAGATATTGGCAGCAGAGTTAACCCAACGAGGTCCCACCAAGATCACTCTACGCTGAGAGGTCCTACGTCTACAAATCTCATGCAAGCATGCAGGGTCATGGGCAGTCAGCTAAGGATTCGTGCAAATCTAAGGACAGCTCCTAATGTGGAAGAGAGAGGCAGAGACACGTACAGATAGAGGGGCTAAAACAAATAGGCAATAACAACACAAC